CACACACACACACACACACACACACACACACACACACACACACACACACACACACACACAGTGAGGCAGCGGTTCTCCCAGTACGACCCGTATGACCCGGATCCTGTGGGTCCAGTACCGGGAGCGTGAGGCTGACAGTAGTCCCTCAGGTGGTCCAGGCTCTCACACACCGTCTCCGTGGAAACACTGCTGCCCCGCCCCCTGCTGCTGCTGACCAGCAGGAGGCGGGGCTCCAGGATGAGGCGGGCTCTGGCACCGATGGGGCGTTTCCCGTCAACCCTCACAGCGACGTTGGTCACGGAGCCGCCGTGCTCGAAGGCGATGGGCGGGGTGTCGCTCCAGCCACCTGAAACAGGAAGAGGAAGAGGCCTTCACTCACCTGGACCAATCACAGGACAGCGCCGAGGATTCAAACTGTCCTGTACCTGCCAGGTCCAGTCGGGCTGGACACTCCACTTCCTGCCACTCCCCCATCGGCGGCATCGCTCCTCGTCCAATGGAAATGAATGTCTGCGATGACATCACAGCCTGTCGCAGCAGCACCTGTCCGGCGCCTTCGTAGTGTCTTGCCGCTCGCACCAGCAGGTCCGGCCTGGGGGGGGGCGACGACGGGTCAGCACCGATCTGACAGCAGGAAACACCGAGCGACACGCTCACCTGCTCAGCCACTTCTGCCTCTGTGCGGCGAGCGCGTAGACTCCGCCCCTCAGGTTACCCTCCTCCAACAGGAAGTAGGCGGAGCTCCAGGCCTCATTAGCAGCTGGTCCACTTCTCAGCCCTCCCTTTCCCTCCGCCATGCACACCAACACGTCAGCGATGCAGGAGAGACAGCGGGCGGCCACGCCCATCTCTGCTCCAGGCTCCGCCTCCTTCTCTCCACTTCCTGCTGCAACTAACGTCAGATTTTATCCTTTAAGTTCAGATTCTGACCCAAACCTCTTTTTAAAACTTGTTTGTGGACTCACTGTTGTCCAGAGTCTCCAGCAGCGCGCCCTGCTGGCCCCCCAGCACCGCCGCCCTGAAGCAAGGCAGCAGGCAGGTGTCGGTGCGACTCCGCAGTGCGTCAGTCACCCTCTTCCTCCCCGCCAGGAACAGAAGCTCCTCCCTCCACTGGAGCTCCGCCTCCTGGTGAGTGAGCGACAGCACCTCCTTCAGAGAGAGCCTCCACGCCTCCCTCCACCTCCTCAGACACCCGGCCCCACCCAGCAGCCAGGCCACGCCTCCCTGCAGGCCAACCACGCCCCCTCTGGGGTGGAGGACTGGGAAGAGGCGGGCCTCCAGGAGGGTCCGCTGCTCACCTCGGACCCACAAGTCCTCCGGCCTGAGGAGGAGGAGGAAGAGGAGGAGGAGGAAGAGGAGGAGTAAATTACTGACCAGGTAAGAATGACAATAAAATAAAATAACTATTTTTGTTTGATTGTTGTTGATGTTTCTGCTGCTGTGAACTGAACTGTGTTTTTTTGGTTTATTTATTTGTTGTTTTGTTTGTTTATTTGTTTGTTTATTTGTTGTTTATTTGTCTCAGAGCTCAGGAGAGCTGGTCTGTGTGTCTCACTGGACTCCTGTGGAGCTGAAGAAAACGCTCCATCTCTGGTTGAGGAAGGAGGAGCTGCTGTCATCAGAGGACACCTGAGGAGGAAACCATCATCATCATCACCATTATCGCATCATCATCATCATCCTCACCATCATCATCACCATTGTCAACATCATAATCATCATCATAACCACCATCATCATCATGATAATCATCATCATCATCATCATCATCATGATAATCATCATCATCTGTTGTAGGTAGACAGGTCTTGTAGAGAGGTCTGAAAATAGGAATCATCATCACCACCACCAACACCATCATCATCATCATCACCATCATCACCATCATCATCATCCCTATCATCATCACCACCACCATCATCATAACATCACCACCATCATCATCATCAACATTATAATCACCACCATCATCATCATCATCATCACCACCATCATAATCATCATCTTCACCACCATCATCACCATCATCATCATCATCATCACCATCATTGTTACCATCATCATCATCATAATTATCATCATCACCATCATCATCACCACCACCATCAACACCATCATCATGACCATCATCGTCATCATAATTATCACCATCATCATCATCATCATCATCACCACCACTACCATCATAATCATCATCATCATCATCATCATCGTCACCACCATCATCATCACATCATCATAATCATCATCATCACCACCGCCATCATCATCACCATCATCATCATCACCACCATCATCATCACATCATCATAATCATCATCATCACCACCACCATCATCATCATCACCACCGCCATCATCATCACCACCATCATCATCACCACCATCATCATCATCACCATCATTGTTACCGTCATCATCATCATAATTATCATCACCACCATCATCATCATCACCACCACCATCATCATCATGACCATCATCGTCATCATAATTATCACCATCATCATCATCATCATCATCACCACCACTACCATCATAATCATCATCATCATCATCATCATCGTCACCACCATCATCATCACATCATCATAATCATCATCATCACCACCACCACCATCATCATCATCATCACCACCATCATCACCACCACTACCATCATCACCACCATCATCATCATCACCATCATTGTTACCATCATCATCATCATAATTATCATCACCACCATCATCACCACCATCATCATCACCACCACCATCATCATCATCATCACCACCATCATCATCACCACCACTACCATCATCACCACCATCATCATCATCACCACCACTACCATCATCATCACCACCACTACCATCATCACCACCATCATCATCATCACCACCATCATCATCACCACCACTACCATCATCATCATCACCACCATCATCATCATCATCACCACCATCATCATCACCACCACTACCACCATCATCATCACCACCATCATCACCACCATCATCATCACCACCACCATCATCATCATCATCACCACCATCATCATCACCACCACTACCATCATCACCACCATCATCATCATCACCACCACTACCATCATCATCACCACCACTACCATCATCACCACCACCATCATCATCATCACCACCATCATCATCATCACCACCACTACCATCATCACCACCTTCATCATCATCACCACCATCATCTTTTCATCACCATCATCATCATCATCACCATTATCATCATCGTCATCATAATTATCATCACCACCACCATCATAATCATCATCATCATAATCACCATCACCATCATCATCACCACTACCATCATTATCACCATCATCATTTTCATCATCACCATCATCATCATCATCATCACCACTACCATCATCACCACCATCATCATCATCACCACCATCATCTTTTCATCACCATCATCATCACCATTATCATCACCATCATCATCATCATCATCATCACCACCACCACCACCATCATCATCATCATCGCCACCACCACCACTACCATCATCATCATCATCACCACACACCATGACAAATAAACAGCTGATCAGTCTCCAAGGCAACCGGCTGCAGGACGTTTTACCTGCAGATCGTCGCGCACACCCATCACCGTGTGCACGTTCAGCTTCAGCTCGCCCAGCTGGATGCGATGTCCCTGGATGATGATGTCACTGCTGAGCTTCAGCCGCCTGACGCACGGCGACGCAGACGCCTGGAGACCCGACAGCAGACAGCCGGAGGGGACGTCCAGAGGACCCTGAGGACGGTGGTCTTTTTGTAAACTTGGACAAAATAAGAATCAACGGTTTCACCTTCAACACACAAAAACACCTGGAGAGAACCTGTAGGTGGCAGTGTTGCACCACCGCTCCGGTTTCCACGGAAACGTCTGCGTCCAGAACGCTGTTGATGATCCGAGCTCCGGCGCTCACACGGCTCTCAGTCTGCAGGTTATAAATAAAGAATATCTTACCTGTTGGCAGAGGTTTATAGTAACTAAGTACATTTACTTTGTTACAGTACTTAAGTAATATTTTTTTGAGGATTTCTAATTTTACCAAGTATTTTTTATTGTTACTTTTACTTTTATATTGTTAAATTTAAAACCTAAAATTGATATTTTTACTTCTTTACTTTTAAATTTAGCATCTAGTTACTTGTTGCAAAATAAATATGTTTGAACTCATCATGAAAGATGTTTATGTGCTCTAAAAACTGAAGTGTTGAATTTACTCAAACAAGTCATGTCAGCTGGTTTCTTTGTATTTATCTGCTTAATCAGCTGTTTATTTACCTGCTTAATCAGCTGATTATTTACCTGCTTAATCAGCTGTTTATTTACCTGCTTAATCAGCTGTTTATTTACCTGCTTAATCAGCTGTTTATTTACCTGCTTAATCAGCTGTTTATTTATCTGCTTAATCAGCTGTTTATTAACCTGCTTAATCAGCTGTTTATTTATCTGCTTAATCAGCTGTTTATTTACCTGCTTAATCAGCTGTTTAATTAGCTTAGTTTATTTCACTAAATGTGTGAAGTAAATATGAGGCAAGAATATTTTCTCCACTTGGTTTAGTGGAACCAGTTTGGTTAATCTCTTAACAGAAAATTCCTTAAAAGCCTTCTGACATTTTTAAGGAGCCAAACTAAAAGGTAAGAACCAGAGGAAGTTGTCTGACAGCCTAGTCTTCAAAATAAAAGCCCCCGGTAGTGTCTGGAAATGTTTAAAGGCAGAAACGGAAACATTTTTGCGCACCGGTGGAACAAAAACTGTTCAGGGGTTCAGGATATTTTACAGTTTATCTCTTAGAGTGTTTAAAAGTACTTTTACTTTTACTTTTCCAATTTTTGTGACCAGTTTTGTGACTTTTACTTAAGTACGTTTCTCATCAGTGAAATTTATTTTTATCAAAGTCATTTTCTGTTAAGGTATTTTCACTTTTACTTAGTTATTTTTAAGTACTTTGCCTGTTGGACATGGTTGCTTCAGTATGAAGGTTTTTTTTATGGGACTATGTGCTGCAGGTAAGATACTACCTATTCCTAACTTCACCACAGGAGCCTGAACTGTTAAAACGTTAAACAGCGTGAAGACTGCTGGAGGAAGAGGATGATGAAGAGTACGACGTGTCACCTGGATGTGAGACAGAGTGTTTCTGTTCGTCCAATCACGAGTCAGACGGAGGACGTGTTGCTGCCCGGACAGAGTCAGGTAGTCGTAGAGACCGCCGGGGACGTAAACTGACAGATCAATGGGAAGAGAGGATTAACTGGTGTGTGTGTGTGTGTGTGTGTGTGTGTGTGTGTGTG